GAGAGAGAGAGAGAGAGAGGGGGGAGAGAGAGAGAGAGAGAGAGAGAGAGAGAGAGAGAGAGAGGGCTTACCGAAACACGACTGGCGCATTTAACTTGGCCCGGATCGATGCAGAAATTCCCGCGTCAGCCATAATCGGGAGAGCAGGGCGCGGACTGCGTTGCAATTGCTAATTTTCCAACGAGGCAATGACTCGTGGATGAAACGATTTGTTTACAGACGGGGCACGGTAATCCGATGATCTCTAGGTTAGCTTAAATCGACCGGCACCCCCTTCGTTTACGCACCGGCACTTATTTATAAATACATTGCCGGGCTGCATCGATTTACCCGGCTTTATACCTCCTTCGCCGGGAAAGCTTTCGCGAAAGCGTTTTATCATCCGCGGCCGTTTCGTCTCTCTCTCTCTCTCTCTCTCTCTCTCTTCGTCTCTCTTCTAGCGGCAAGAAAATGGAACGGGACGGAAGGACCCGGTGAAACTAATGCGCCCGAAGAAAAGCTGCTCCGGGGGAATTCGAAAGAGCAATCCGTTACTACATTGTCACCCAGCGCGGCACCCAACCCGGCGCCCCTGCGCCGAAGAAATTTGATCGAGCGCGCGGAAGCACCGCCAGATAAATGTTATTAGTTACCGTCCGAGATTAGGAATCGTTCCCGCTTACCGTTGCGTTATTGTGATATCGTTCTCGTTTTATTCTTATCTCTTATCGAGAAGTACAGTTCGATCGACTCTTCTGGGATTCGACTTCTGACACCCGGCTGTTTAGTGAAAGCTTGATTTTCGGTGCAATTAGGCGATTGCTAATTTGATATTGATGCAGGAAAGATTGTAAATAGGCGATTGCTAATTTGATATCGATGCAGGGAAGATTGCAACTAGGCGATTGTTAATTTGATATCGATGCAGGAAAGATTGCAACTAGGCGATTGCTAATTTGATATCGATGCAGGAAAGATTGCAACTAGGCGATTGCTAATTTGATATTGATGCAGGAAAGATTGCAACTAGGCGATTGCTAATTTGATATCGATGCAGGAAAGATTGTAATTAGGCGATTGCTAATTTGACATCGATGCAGGAAAGATTGCAACTAGGCGATTGCTAATTTGATATTGATGCAGGAAAGATTGCAACTAGGCGATTGCTAATTTGATATCGATGCAAGAAAGATTGCAACTAGACGATTGCTAATTTGATATCGATGCAGGAAAGATTGCAACTAGGCGATTGCTAATTTGACATCGATGCAGGAAAGATCGCAACTAGGCGATTGCTAATTTGATATCGATGCTCTTGTCCCAAATTGTCCATTCTTGTTCACAATTTGCAACACATTTCTCTGTATAACAGCTCGATTTCCTGCTTTCGTCTACATGTTAACGATGAACGCATTAAAAAATGTAAATTACGATCGCCTGCCAAGAAGTTTCACCTCGATATTTCGACCCAGAAAAATCGATCCGGCGATAATAATTCGAGAAATAACGAAAAAAATGGTAACACTTACTGAGATCAGAGAGCGACACTTTCTCCAGGAAGGGATCGACGACAGGCAGCTGAAACAAAAGCAAACACGTGACATTAACGAACGATAATCACTTCGAAAATAGACTATCGTTATAAAAAAAAAAATCTCGATGAAAATAGTTCGTTAACCAGTTAGCTGTGACGCCTCCTTTTTGGAGCGCGCACCTACATGTGTCACGAGAATCAAGCAAAGACGAGTATATTCGTCAAACATAGTAAGCGTCGCTGTTAAAATATTAGATCAAAAAGACGGTTTTATTTGATAAAATTAACAATTTTATTACTAATATACTAATACTATTAATATAAGTACATTATATATAGTATATAATGTATGTATATATTATTATTATTATTATTATTATTATTATTATTATTATTATATTATTATTATTATTATTATTATTATTATATATATAATATTATTATATTATATATACGATAAAATTAACAATTTTATTACTAATATACTAATACTATTAATACATAATAATATTATTATGTATATAATATTATATACATAATAAACGAAAAACCCAGGGATAATCGAATACTTATAAAAGTTAAGAATTCAAATTGCTGCTGTAGAGAGAGAGCGGTATTTAGCAAAGCAAGGAACAATATATAATAGCACTTTGCACGTCGAACACCAATACCGTGATCCTTCCCTAATTTTATTTTTATAACAATGTAAACAACTTCGCGCAGGATTCGCCTCAAAATATTCTGAACATCTCGAAATTTGAGAATATATTTTTGTTTTCCTTAAAATTACAATTTAAATAGCCAATGATCGCTGCTTCTTACGCGCGACGAGTATACTCGTCGTGACACAGCTAACTGGTTAAATCGCGTGCGATCCTGCGTCGTGAAAAGTCCGTTTTTCTACCGTTCGCCCGGCGTCTGGGGTCTATTCCGCGAATAGAGAACGAAAAAAGCAAGGACAAGTACCAACGCCTTCTTCAACAGAGATTTCGGACTGAACGGTTGCCTCTTCTTCACGTTCGTCGTTATCTTCGAGTACCAACTCGATAAGATGCCGGACGAGCTGGTACTGTGCGCCATCGCGGTGCCGGGCGTCTTCGCGACGCTTCCGGTCGGTTCGCTGGTCTGCCGCCGGAACAACATTTTCGCGTCGCTATTTCGTCGGACGCGCCCGATCGGGAACACGTGACCGCACCGCGGGCCGGGCCTTTTCACACGAGGTTACGAGTAGTCACTTCAACACAGCGAGCAGCCACGAGAGTCGCCGAGTATTCCGAGACTTCCGGCGAGCCCTCCGGCCGCCATCTTGGTCGCCGCCGCCGCCGCTGCTGCTCGGACACTTCGTTAAAATAGAATCTCGCGCGCTATATCTTCGACCGATTCGAGCGGACTCGGCGGAACGCGCGGCTGTCAACGTCCACGGATCATTTCGTGAGGTCTTCTGGGAAGATTGTCGCACGGTTAGGGAACAGGTTCGTCGCTCGTCACACCGTTATCGGCGCGCACGGTGTTCCCGGCGCGGCGACGATGAAGTAATTGAACATCGAAATCAACAGGCAACATATGAAGCACATTTTCAATCGTTCTTTTCACGTTCGATGGAACTGCGGCGCGTCGAACGATTTTTGCCGCCGGGAATCGATTTCACAGAGTTTCGCGCGACGGAGCCACGATGACTCGTCGATTCGACGAGGCTGGGACGCGACTAAATGATAATCTTGACTTGAGTTTTCGAACTTGATTTCACGGAGTCGGTTGTTCCGTTTCGCGATCTTGAAAGGAAAGCGTTTTTTTACAATTTTACGCCTCTTCTCGCGCACGGAATACAGTAATGTCTCCCTAATTGACGCTCGGATTGTATACAAATATGGACAATTTGGGAAGAGGAGACTTGAATTGGGAATTTGGGAATTCGAGCCTCGTTTTTATAGTTACCGATTGTCAACGATTATAAAGACATAGTGCAAACTGTATTGAAAAAATTGTCCAAATTTCCCTTTGGGGAATTAGGGAGAAATTACTATACGGTCTGACAAAAACAAATGACTTCAGCACTTGTTCTAATTAGATTCCCAGATTCAGGACATCGATTTTTAGACTTTTCTCGACAAAATCCACCGCAATGTACGGTAATGTCTCCCTAACTGACGCTCGGATCGTGCACAAAAATGGACAATTCGAGAAGAGGAGATACGATTGTTCGAGCCCTGCGGCTCGTTTTTATAATTCTTGACAATTCGTGACTATAAAAATGAACCGCAAGGATCGAATACAATCGTATCTCCTCTTCCCAAGTTTTCCATTTTTGTGCGCAATCTGAGCGTCAATTAGGGAGACATTACTGTATTTTCAGCATCGACTGCAAGGTACCAAAGTCAACATTTGTTCAATCCTGCGATCGTTCGAACAAGTCGACGACGCATCGACTACTATAAAATTTCGTCGGCTTTTTGCCACGCTTTCCTATTTCGAAAATGCATAGAATCCGGCGTCCAGTTCTCATAAAATCGGAATGGCACGTCAATGATCTAGACATGTCGCGCACGCAGAGATGAAACCATTTTGAAAGAGAAGCTACGATTAGTCGAGCCTTGCGGCTCGTTTTTATAGTCCTCGAAAATTCTCGAATAATCGTATCTCCTCTTCCCAAATTGTCCATTTTTCTGCACGATCTAAGCGTCAGTCAGGGAGACATCACTGTAACAACGATTGGAGTCGAGACGGTGGCCTTCTGCCTATTCGCGTTTCTTCTCGCGACCCTAACGGGTTGTTCAGGGCGATAAATTTTTCTCTTCCCGTGTGTAATAGAAATCGGCCCGACCGGCTTCGAGACGCGCGGAATTTTTTTGAAAACGTTAAACAACAGGCGGACGCGTCGTAATTCACTCGTACACTCGTTCAAACGATTGGTAAACCGCGCGGCGCGCCTATATGCTAATGGCGGCGGCGGAACCAGTTTTAAAACGCGCGGATAACTACCTGCCTACGGAAACGCTAACGAACAAGCATCTCGGACACTGCGGTATTCCGTAAAAATTACACCCGGCCGTATTTTACGAACGCGCGAGCCACCGAAGTTACGACCGAAGTTATCTTCCCGTCCGCCGAAAGCGCGATTCCTATATTTTCCAGACGTTAATGAAGTCGCCGAGCGTGCAATATTACCTACCGCGGCTCCCTTAACGCGTTCCTTGCCACGTGTACCCCCTCCCCCTCCCTCACCGTCGATGGTACATGCGTAGGTGTTTATTTAATGCGTTGAGAAAAATAGTTTGTAAGAAATTTAGAACCGAAGCGTGAATTTCCACCACAAGAATGGGAGTCATAATAAGTTTGTTTCATTGTTATATATATATATTGCGATTTGATATTCCACTAAAACTTATTATATTACAATTATATATTGTAATTATTAATTATCGTATATATATATTATTAATAATATTATTAATAATATAGAATATTATATAATATTATAATAATATAATATAATATAGAATATTATATAATATTATAATAATATAATATAATATAGAATATTATTAATATTATAATATTATTATAATATAATATAATATAATATATAATATTATTATATATATATATTACAATATATATAATTGTAATATATCAAGTTTTAGTGAAATATCAACTGGCCAGTGCGAAGAATCGTGTAAAAACAGCTTGGCACGGAACGTGTTAAGGAACGCTTCGTAAAGTGCGCGATGCGTAGAAAAGTAGATAGGCGAATCTCCATAACGGTTCTGCGTTCTCTCGCCCACGCGAATTGTTTTGATCGTTTGGCAAATTTCACGCGGGATATGCACAGTAAATTATTCCCTAATTTTCCTTCGGCTTGTGAACAAATAAATGGACAATTTGGGAAGAGGAGATGCGATTAAATTAATAAAAATATATAAATATTATATTATATTATATTATATATGTGTTATAATATATATTATAATATTTATATATATAATATATATTATTATATATTATAATATATAATTAAATAAATAAATAGAAACGTTATTAATCAAGATAAAGGACATGATAGAAATACGGCGACTAATTTATCCGAAAATTTTTTATGAAAGAATCTTTATAATTCCAACAATTTTAGAATGCAAATTCTGGAACCGGGCACCTTTTTACCGAAGCCCGGGTCTACTGGGAAGCGAAAGCACGATTATTCCAGTCTTGCACCTCGTTTTTATACTTGTTGACAATCGGCGACTAAAAAGACGCGTCGCTAGGCTCGAACAATCGTATCTCGTCTTCCCAAATTATCCATTTTTATTTTCAAGCTGAGCAAAAAATGGGAAGAATTTACTGTACATACTTTTTGTGCGGCGCGTTTCTAAACGCCTATCGCGGTTGCTCGGAAAATCGTCGAAAAACAACGTATCGATGCCAGCGGAAGTAGCCGCGAAAAGCGCTCCGTCTAAATTAGCGTACCACGCGCGATATTAATTGCGCCGAGTGCACGAAACCGTGCACTCGTGCGTACAACACGGACCATTTGACGCCGTTCGCTGCCGAGGCGCGGTCGACGCTGACCCGGTCTTAAATTAATTAAACGAAACGAACGTTCGAGCTCTCTCACGATTTCGCAGATTCCGTCGAGCTTACGAGCGTCGACGAACACGGGATTTATAGTTCTCTCCCCCCCCCTCCCGCATTTCTTTCGCGCTTCCTGGCTTTCTTTTTTTATTCGACCGATTCCACTCGATCACATAACGCTTCGATCTCTAAATAAAAATACGGTAATTTCTCCCTAATTCGCGCTTCGATTGGGCATAAAAATGGACGATTTTGGAAGAGGAGATATTATTATTGGAGCCTTGCGGCTTGTTTTTATAATTGTTGACTGTCGGTATGTGAGAAATGAGTCAGAAGGCTCGAATAAGTTATTGTAAATAATAACTCCTCTTTTTTCAATTAATGTAAATAATAACTCCTCTTTTCTCAACTAATATAAATAATAATTCCACTTTTTTATTTATATTTATTATTTATTATTATTATTATTTATTTATTG